TTTTTTTTTTTTTTTTTTTAAGTGATCTCTACACCCAGTATTGTGTTTGAACCTATAACTCGGAGACCAAGAGTCACACACTCCACCAGCTGAGCCAGCCAGGCACCCCTAAAATATGCAGTATTTTTAAAACTTGTTTCACTATGGTATCTTCTTTTCTTGGAATGATCTGTGAAAACATTCATTTGAGAGAATTTAATGTTGAAGTAGATTTTTTTTAATATTTATCTTATCTTCAAGGTGTACATGTGTATTTCCTAACTTCAACTAAGTTATTTTTAGCATTTTTAGTTTTGAGTAGTCATTTTTAATTTCTAGAGTATTTCAAATCATTAGCTTAATTTGATGTTGATTTTGTTTTATAGCCAGCTGTTGCACTGCCTACAAGCCTTAGCCTGTCTACTCCTCAGCCTGCAGCACAGATAACTGTATCATATCCAACACCTAGGTCCAGTCAGCAACAAACCCAACCTCAAAAACAGCGTGTTTTTACAGGTGTAGTTACAAAACTACATGATACGTTCGGATTTGTGGATGAAGATGTATTCTTTCAGCTTAGGTAAACTTAGGTTTTGACAAATGCCTTCTTGTATTTATTTATTTATTTATTTATAAGTTTATTTTGAGAGAGTGCGTATGTGCCTGTGTACACAAGTGAGTGGGGGAGGAGCAGAGAGTGGTGAGCGAGAGAGTATCCCAAGCAGGCTCTTGTACCATCAGGGCAGAGCCCCTTGCAGAACTTGAACTCATATTTTGTGAGATTATGGCCTGAAGCGAAATCGAGAGTTGGATGCTTAGCCTACTGAACCACCCAGGCACCCCAGCCTTCTTGTATTTAGCATGAAGTATATTGATAAGGCTTGATTACGGTAGAGGATCGTGGTTTAGTTCTAAGTTTTTGTTTTAGTCATTCAGCTTTTATTATATTTGTATCTGGCCTTTTTTGATGGAGAATATGAATGAAGCTATCTTCTGGTTACTGAACAAAGTAGTTAATGGTGAATTCTTTATACATGTTTTATAGGAGTGAGTTTATTTTCCAACTCTTCATGGGCAGACTTAAAATAGGATTAGAGATTTAATTAGTCCTATACCTTTTAAAATTAATCTTCTATTTGACATATCTAATGACAATATATACTAAAACATTTTCAACTGAAAAATTAGCGAATCACATTGAATGATTGATTAGTGACTAACCTATTCAAAATAATATTTTTTAGTGTGATGGTGGTTGCATGAAATAAGATTTTCCGTGGATGTCTCAAATATATTCTTAATGAATTGCCTTAGAGGTACTTTTTTGGGAAATGTAATTGCTGTATGACATTAAAAAAAATGGGTCTCCTATTTTCCACCTCATTTCTCTTATCTCTCCACAGCCCAAAGGAAATCTTACTCTTGGGCTATAAAAGGTAGAATGTACTGTAGAAGGAAGGACACAATATTGGGAGAAAATGGAGAAAATGAGGTGGAAATTATTTCTTCCATTTGAAACCCTGTGTTTTTACAGGGAGGGTGAAACATGATCAGTACTCAAATCAGTGTAGGAGTAGCAGACAAAAAGTAGACTTTTTAAGAGCCTTTTAGACTTCCATTTCAGATAGTTTACTTTAGTTAAAATACTACAAATGTAAATAATTTTTGGAGGAATCTTTTAATTGCATTTATATTTAACAATTTTTTTTCCAGTGCTGTCAAAGGGAAAACCCCCCAAGTGGGTGACAGAGTATTGGTTGAAGCTACATATAATCCCAATATGCCTTTTAAATGGAATGCACAAAGAATTCAGACGCTACCAAACCAGGTATATAAAATACTGAGTTAAGTATTACAGAAACTTGGTGACTCAGTCTTCTAATAATTGAAGTTTTTTTTCTTTATTTAAAAAATTTTTATTTTATTTTTTTATTTTTGTTAAGAATCAATCCCAAACTCAACCTTTACTCAAGACTCCTCCTGCTGTACTTCAGCCAATTGCACCACAGACGACATTTGGTGTTCAGGCTCAGCCTCAGCCCCAGTCACTGCTGCAGGCACAGATTTCAGCAGCTTCTATTACACCATTATTGCAGACTCAGCCACAGCCTTTATTACAGCAGCCACAGCAGAAAGGTATTACATGCAGTGTATCTTTTCTGTTTCAGACTAATATATAACTTTTACAGCTTCTTAGTTGTTATAATAATGAGAATATGCTTCTAATTATAAAAAAAGGCAGGGATTTCCAGAATACTTGAAAGGAAGTGTAAGTATCTTATGTAGACCGCTTGTATTTTATACCTCTTTGGAAGTATTTTTATTTTGTTGCTTTTATAGGAAGACCTGCTCTTTGTGAACTTGACATAAATATTAGAGTTATTAATCCCTTATCCCTTCATTGGTATTTTATCTGTAATGGAAGAAAATGTCATATAAACATAACATTATATATATATATATATATATTGTCTAGTGGTAGTACTTTGTTGAACTCTAGCGCATGAAATGAGCCGTGTTTTACATTTTTCCTTTGCAAATTAATTATTTGAAGCTCTAGACAGTTTTTTACTGAACCAGTGTTAACAAAGATAGCCTTGGCTTAACAGAAGCCTACTTAATTGGTATTTTCTTAAAGTGTAATTGTGGCAATTTCTCTTTTATTATAAATTATGACACACTTAGAATTATTAAAGAGATTATAGTGTAATGAGTTCTTAGATGAATACCTGCGCAATCACTACTTGGGTAAAAAGTTAAAATTGTTAGTTTACTCTTTTTTAATAGTTTTACTCTCTAAACTATGGATGTCCGCATAATACAGTTTAGCTTTGTATTTGAATTTTACATAGTGTGTGATTCCACTTATGTAATCTGTTGTGTAAGACTTATTTTATTCAATATTATGTTGTGACAGTTTCTTATACTTTTTTTCCATGTGGGTTATTCTTCATTTTTATCATTAGAAAATATTATATGTATGAATATTGTATAGTTTATCTGTTCTTTGGTAAACGTTTGGATTGTTTCTAGTTTTTGGTTTTGGAAAATTCTGTTATAAATGTCCTCACATATGTGTCTCAGGGGAATGTGCCTAGGTTTCTCTTCATATATGTGTCCAGGGCATGTACCTTCAGGTGGCATTGCGGGGTCTGAGGGTTTGTGTGACTTAAACTTACTAGGTAATGTGAGACCATTTCCAAGCTCTTGGTTCTTCCAGATATTTGATTAGTAGTCCTGTGAATTCTCTTTTTTTTTTTAATTTTTATTTAATTTTAAAAATAATTTTTAAAGTTTCATTACTTATTTTTTAAAATTTTATTTATTTTTAAGTAATCTCTACACCTGATGTGGACCTTGAACTCATGACCCTGAGGTCAAGAATCAGGATGCTCTTCCATCTGAGCCAGTCAGGCACCCCAGTCATGTGATTTCTAATATTTTTTTTTCCTTTTCATGTTTTTCCTAAGAGGTTTTGTTTTCTATTTGTGAGCAGGGACTTAAATACCACTTTTTCCTTGTCATTGTGTCAAGAAGAGAGAATGGCCTCTGTGGGAGGGATGAAGGCAGCTAAGTCCCATGAATTTGGTGGATGACTTAGAGAAGCAATGAGTAGGGTAGAAAAAATAGAAGAGAGAAAAATAGGGGCACCTGGCTGGCTCAGTTGAAGGAGCTTGCAACTCTTGATCTTAGTGTTGTGATTTCGAGGCCCATGTTGGGTATAGAGATTACTTAAAATCTTAAAAGAAGAGTGAAAAGTGGTGTGGTAGGATGAGGATTTCAGAGGAGTTGATGTGTTGGCAGAAGGGTAGGGAATTGTCCATTGGGAACTAGGATTCCTTATTATAAGAAACATAAGTTAGCTAATTTTTCTCCAGTTTTTACCATGAAAATTTTCAAGCATTCAAAAATGTCAAAACAACAGTATAGTGATCACTTACATACTTACAACCTTGTAAAAATTTTTAACATTTTACTTTGTGTTTTACATGTGTATATACAAATAGTTTTTGCTCAATCATTTAAAGTAATTAGCAGACAGTGACATTTCATCCCTATGTACTTAAGCATGCCCTTCCTCAAAAAGACCATTTTTCTAATAATTACAGTCTGTTATATCTAAGAATATATTTACATATTCTCAATATATTCATATCCCCCCATTTGTCTCCTAGATGTTTTTCAAGGTTATTTTTATTTCCTAAACAAAAGTGAAAAACGAAAAGCCAGTCAGCTTTTATCCATTGTATTTGGTTATGTTACTTTAGTTTTTTTATTCTAGAATAGTTTCCCACTTTTCCTTTCTTCCTTTATGACATTGACTTTTTGAAGAGAGTAGGCTTGTTGACTTATAGATTCTTTTGGAATGTTGTATTCTGTATTTGCTGGGATTCCTTGCAATATTTTTACCTTGTTCCGCTATCCGTCATATAAACTATGAACTAGAATTAAATCTGAAGGCTTTGGCAAGAACACATCATACATGATGTTTTGTAATTCATATTGCATCATACTAGGAGGCACATGTCAGATTCTTGTATTAATTGATGCTAAATTTGATTACTTGGTCCGAGTGGTGGCCATAGATCTCTCCATTATAAGGAGCTTTTTCTCTGGGTAATCTTTGGCTGATACTTTAGCACCCTGTGAATATCTTACTGTACAACACTCTGGTTTACTGTCTGTGGATCAAGAATTTCAAACTACAGCCCTTGGATTTGGTCCATGGGCTGGTTTTATACTGTCTCTGAGCTTTTGCATTTTTAAACTGTTGTAAAAAGTATATACAAATAAATGATCTCTACAGGTTTTTGGCCACAAAGCTTAAGATGTTAGCTTACTTTTTCTATTTGTAAAACATAACTAGGTGATGCTTTTATATAAGTTAAAATATTTTTTCTGTGTCTTTTAAAGCTGGTTTATTGCAGCCTCCCGTCCGTATAGTTTCACAGCCACAACCAGCACGGAGATTAGATCCACCATCCAGATTTTCAGGAAGGAATGACAGAGGCGATCAAGTGCCTAACAGAAAAGATGATAGAAGGTATGTTTTTAAAAGTATAAGTTTGATGGTGGTGATGGTTGCACCGTGTGAATGCACTTAATGCCACTGAAGTGTACATTTGAAAGTGGTTAAATGCTAAGTTTGTCTTACACGTTTTATAATAGTTTTTAAAAGTCATTAAAGTATATTGAAATCTTGCTTGTAGTAAGTATTGATTTTATTGAAGAACTCTTCAATAATGCCAGAAATATTAGTAATTTTAGAAAATTCTGTTTCAAGTCGTGAAAGGGAGAGAGAAAGACGTAGATCCAGAGAAAGATCTCCTCAGAGAAAACGTTCCCGGGAGAGATCTCCTCGAAGAGAGAGAGAACGATCACCTCGAAGAGTTCGACGTGTTGTTCCACGTTACACAGTTCAGTTTTCAAAATTTTCTTTAGATTGGTAAGTTCTTTGCCCCTCAATTGTTTCATTGAATTACCAGTTTCTGATTTTGTATAATTTACTAGAGTGTGTTATATATACAGAGATCTTTTTCTTACATACTCCATTGTGTTTGATAAAGTAATACGGCAGTGTACCAGTTATGTCAAGTTAGCTGTGACAATGTTGGCATAATAGCAAAATGGACCTACATATACACTCATAGACATATAACATACACGTGTGTGTATCCATAAATAGATTTTTCAGCCTTTGGAATCAGAGGTGGTGAGTGGGTGAGTTACCAAGAATTTCTGAGTTTTGGGGCGCCTGGGTGGCTCAGTCAGTTAAGCATCCGACTTCGGCTCAGGTCATGATCTCACGGTCCGTGGGTTTGAGCCCCACGTCGGGCGGGCTCTGTGCTGACAGCTCAGAGCCTGGAGCCTGTTTCAGATTCTGTGTCTCCCTCTCTGTCTGACCCTCCCCCATTCATGCTCTCTCTCTGTCTCAAAAATAAATAAACGTTAAAAAAAAAAATTTCTGTTTCACCTGCAAAATGGAAATTCTGTTAACTAGCAGAATTACTAAGGTTAAATTGAGTTCTTGTATCTAAAGCACTTGATCAGTCTATGGCAGTTGTATATACTCTGCATTTAATGGATGGTGGGATGTGGTGGCCAACAAGGTAATAGATAGCTACAAAGTTGCAATTCATAAAAAGATTGGCAAAATGACTAATTTAGCCTAGGGGAAAGGAAGAATTACTCAAAGGCCCTGAGACTGGCAGTTGTGTATAGGATAAATTAACAAATGGGGAAAACAAATTGACAGTACAGTAAGAAAAATGAATCATTGAAAGCAGTGTTTATAGCTGTTGAACATAGGCACAGATAACTGTATGTACTTCAGTATCCTGAGAAAGTATTAACTGCATTTTATCAAAGAATAATATTCATAATTCTAGTCTATCAAAAGTTTAAATTTCTATATATTCAGTTCTAGATTGAGTAAAAACAGTGTAATTTACTTACGCAACTCAGTGCCAAAAAAAAAAAATCTCGCTTAGTAACTTTGCTTAATTGTTGTATAGTTGATGTTCATTTAGCCTTGTGGTCAAATGAGCAACTACTCTAATTTGTACTACTTACTACTCCTATTTACTTGTATATTTTAAAATGTCTAGACTGCATACATCTGAGAAATTCACTGTAACCGACTTCTCCAGTCTCAAAGATATTAAATAGAGGAGCTCTGCTTTTAAACTCCTCTGTTCCAGTTTATAATGCTCCTTTTTGGGGAGAATTAATGGATAGGGTATAAAATCAACAGCTATCTCCTTCCGAGTTAGACACTGACAGTGTCATTTCACCACTTTGAAATAAATTCCCAGAACATCAAATCAATCTATGACAAATAAAAATGATTTTAAAATTTGCACACCTTTTCTCATCTATAGTTGTGTAAATCAAGATTGTTTTGTAGTAATGCAGTTATAAGAGACTGTATGCCAAGAAATGGCTTGTTTGTACTTAATCTTTTATTTTAGATTTTAATCTTACAGGATAAAAAACAACTTCAAAAATTCTAGTGATGGGAAACTAAGAAACTATTACACATACTTTATGTTTGCAACACTTAAAAAAAAAAAAACCTCAAATACTGTTTTTCACATTTTCCTTACTTTGACAGCAGAATTTTATACAAATAAAGTATAATTATGTCAGCAACCACACCTGACAAGTTTATCATATATTTGTTATTTTTAGGCTTCAAATAAAAAGACACTCCTACAAATATATTAGGTCATATTTTTTAGCTTTGTTGTTAGGTGCCTTTAAAAAAGACCAGGTAAGGGGCACTGGGGTGGCTCAGTCCGTTATGCATCCAGCTTCAGCTCAGGTCATGATCTCACGATTTGTGGGCTTGAGCCCTGTGTCAGGCTCTGTGCTGACAGTTCAGAGCCTGGAGCCTGCTTTGGATTCCTTGTCTCCCTCTCTCTACCCTTCCTCCCTTGCTTGTACTCTGTCTCTCAAAAATAAAGATTAAAAAAAAATTTTTTTAATAAAAAAGATAATGTAGTGAGCTTTTCAGCTTACAAATTATTCTTTTCCACACTTTTTATGCTTTTAATAGAAAGTCTTTGTTCTTTTACCAGACTGATTTGCCTTTGAGTTCCTTTCCTTTACAAGTTCTGCTTCTTAGGAAAAAGGAAATCATCCTTTAAAAAATACCAGTGTGCCACCCTCTCAAAATAAATAAACTTAAAAAAAATCATTATGCCAGATTTAAAAGGCAAGAAATTTATCCTCTTTTCCTAATAAACACTCAGGTATGGGTCATTGCCATTAATACAGAGAAATGTGGATAATCCAAAAAAACATTGGATTTAGCTTTCATGTGGATTATTGTGCTTGATTATGAATGTAAATATGCTTGATCTAGGATCTTTTTATAAAATGCCGGTTTTTTAATTTTTATACTATATGAACCAGATTGAAGAGTACTCATTATTTGGTACCTCTCTTGTCCCTTCTTTTTATCCATTCTACGTGAATTATACTTTTCTCAAAAATGCAGTTTCAACTAAGGCAGAACTGCTTTTTGTTCATATTTTCTCTGGAGGTGGAGTTGAAGTTATTTCAAAGTGTCTCTAATGAATTTTAAGCTACACACAAAAAGCAAAGAAATAAAGGTAACACTTAGATACCAGTTATTTCTTTAAACTGTAAGTAAATAAATTTGAAAATGAGGTTCTCCTATGCCTCTGTGCAAGTCTGTAGCCCATTAATAATTGACTCTGACCATTTTCAGCTGCCTTTTAACTGTCGGGTTGTATATTTAGATTCAGAATGGAGTGGATGTTTTGTATAATTTTTGATATTAAGGCTATTTATTCACTACTTATGTCTGTTTTTCAGTCCTAGTTGTGACATGATGGAACTAAGGCGCCGTTATCAGAATTTATATATACCTAGTGACTTTTTTGATGCTCAGTTTACATGGGTGGATGCTTTCCCTTTGTCAAGACCATTTCAGCTGGGAAATTACTGCAATTTCTATGTAATGCACAGAGAAGTAGAGTCCTTAGAAAAAAATATGGCCGTTCTTGATCCGCCAGATGCTGACCATTTATACAGTGCAAAGGTTTGTATTATGTGATATACAGCTAAAATTTCTGAGCAGTTATTCATATTAAGAATGTGGAATTAATCTTCATAAAGTGGTTGTTAGGTTTAAGACCTGAATAGCTATTTTTTTCTTGTCTGCCTAATTCTGTTTTGGTTACTTAAATAATTTAATTTAACCTCTCTTTGCCTTACCTCTTAAAATTTGTGGTTATTGTTTTAACATTTTGAAACTTATAAAAATCTGAAGATGAAGTTGATTTTATTGAGCTTTTTAGAATGTTCTGTAACTTCTGGTATCCTCTGATAAAACATAATGTTGGTGTATACCCTATAGGTTAGTCTTCAGGGTAACATTCTGTATGTTGTTTATGGTCTCACAGTTTTTGGTTATTTTTAGCACATTAATCAAAAAGTATTTCTTGAAAAGTTAAAACTCTATCATTATACAATATCTAATGCCGTTTCTGCCATAGCATTTTACTTTCCATTTTTGTAAAAATTGTGGATATCAAATATGTAAGGATAATTAGTAGTGCTTCTCATTTTTTTACATTACTTTAGACTTTTGACAGGATTGAATTATTTGACTATAATAGGTAATGCTGATGGCTAGTCCTAGTATGGAAGATTTGTATCATAAGTCATGTGCTCTTGCCGAAGACCCACAAGAACTTCGAGATGGATTTCAACATCCTGCTAGACTTGTTAAGGTAAAATGAAACATTTATTTTAACCTCAGGTGTATACTTCCTTTGCTTATTTCTGATTTTATATGTGTGTGTGTGTGTGTGTGTGTATACATAATTTTAAAACACTACATTTTTAGCTTGCTGATTAGTTTAACTAATTTTTGTATGATGGCACTTAAAATTTAATGATATGGATGTTTTTCTCATTGCAGATTATAGATATATGTTATTTGTATGTCACTAGTTCAGCTACCATTTTGATGTTTTGTATTTGAAGCGTAGTAAAATCTTAGTGGTATTGGATTTAGTGTATCTTTGGATGCTGTTAAAGTGTGAATTCTAGCTTGTTTCTTTAAAGAATTCTTTATCTGAAGAAATATTTTAGAAGGATGAGTTATGATGTATAAATCCTATTCCATTGCTGAAATGCAGTGTGGAACACGATGAACTGAACTCTTCCTTGACTGACAGATACCAGAGGTAGTAAAAATGATATTGGAAAGGTTTGTACCTTTCCTTTTCAAGTATTTTATTTGTAATTTGACAAGTTGCATAATATATGTAAATGACTGTTTGTTTTGAATTAGTTTTTAGTGGGCATGAAAGGCAAGGATGAAGCCATGGCCATTGGAGGCCACTGGTCTCCTTCGCTGGATGGACCAGACCCAGAAAAAGACCCGTCTGTGTTGATTAAGACTGCTATTCGTTGTTGTAAGGCTCTGACAGGCATTGATCTAAGTGTATGCACACAATGGTAAGTACTAATTCATTTTTTGATTAGAAATATTTTTTCATAGTTTATATAGATGTTCTTATCTATCAGCCTCTCCCCATCCCCTCACCCTTACTTTAGCAACCTCGATCATGCAGGTAATCTCAAAGGAAAATCCCCATTTGTAGCAAAAGTTTATTTGGTGCCAAAATGTTTGGGGGAAAAAGGATTAAGAACTAATCAAAATAAACTGAAAATTATTTAAATGTTTTGTTATGCTTTACTTTGGAAGTTGGATGTATGTTGAAAATATTTTTCATTTCATGCATAGCTGGAGAAGATCGTCAAGAGAGAACTTCATTTCATTATAATTCTTTTGTTATAAAATGATATAGTTGCTGATTATTTTTGTTCAGCCATATTTTCTCTTGAGGCTTATTTGTCTTGTGTATTTTAGTATATTTCTTGTGATTTAATTGAGAACATTCTTTTTTTAGCACATGAAATCTGAACAGCTATCCAGCTTCTTCAGGTATTCTCTAAAATATGGGTAGCATTGTAATCAAACTTGAAAATGCTTTGGGGAACATATTCTTTTAACCATAAAATATTGTACAAATGTACCAAAAGAGGAACTATGGCTTCTATAATTTTTTTTTCTTTAGACCAACCTCAAGTTCTTGCAGCAAAATTTCTTTACTTGATGTGCTACAAGTGAACTAGGGTCTTTAAAATGTATTTTAGAATTTTTTTTCCAACATGCTTCTTCCCTTGCAACAGGTACCGTTTTGCAGAGATTCGCTACCATCGCCCTGAGGAGACCCACAAGGGGCGTACAGTTCCAGCTCATGTGGAGACAGTGGTTTTATTTTTCCCGGATGTTTGGCATTGCCTTCCCACCCGCTCAGAGTGGGAAACCCTCTCCCGAGGATACAAGCAGCAGCTGGTCGAGAAGCTTCAGGGTGAACGCAAGGAGGCTGATGGAGAACAGGCACTGAACGCTAATCCCTTTTTCTATTTCCGCTTCTCACAGGCACAGGAACACAGGCACAAATGCACACCACACACTACATAACAAACACACATGGAGGAACATAACTGGTAACAGCGACTGGTACTCCAGCTTTCAGCAGTATAGTTTTATTTTCTTTTCTTTAAAAAAAAATTTGTCTAGTATGCTAACTTTAAGAGTGCTGAGACCTCAAAGGAAAATAAGTTGTGCTTAAATTGCACAGAATTTTGTTTTTATCATAGGTCTAGTTGCTGGAATCTGGGACCAGTTGTTGAGCAAGTTTCAGTATTAAGCCATTTTAAACATTTTGCCATTTTCTAAAATTTAAAAAATTTTCTCTTTCACGGTCATCAGTTCTAGTCATGGATATTTGAAATTGGACAACCACAAGTCTGAGAGATTTGACATTTCAGGCTATGTGGCATCGTCTTTGGTACATTTGAAAGGTCTGACTAAATCAGTCTTAACTTTGGGTGGCTTGAAAATTGGGGCAAGATCACACACTGTGTGGTTAGTGGAGACCGGCAGTGTTTGTGCATCCCTGATATCCTTTGTGTTGTAATTTATCACCCTTTTGTGTTTCACAGATCTGGCTTTGATTGGCTGATGAGTGTCTTTGTGATCAGTTAAAAGTGGTAGAATGTATGTACGTGGACTTGCCTAAATAATAACTTTAGGAGAAGACAATCTGAAACATTTGTGACCTTGCACAGATCAGCAACAGACTTTTAAAAATAAATTACCATAATTTTAAGGTTTCAGAATAGTAATTATGTTCTTAACTTTGTATATCAGGATGAAGAAGAGAAGGATGATGGTGAAGCTAAAGAAATTTCCACTCCTACCCATTGGTCTAAACTTGATCCAAAGACAATGAAGGTAACTTTGAAATTGATGGTATTTAATTTTAAGTCTCTGAATAGGAACAGAGAATGTGGACAGTGTTTTATCAGATAAAAGGCACTCCAAATCGTCCATGAATTTTACATAAATATTCTATATTGTATTTATGTGCATGTGTATAATGATTAAATAAAAGGTGACTTCAGGGGTGCCTGCGTGGCTCAGTCGGTTAAGCGCCCAACTTCGGTTCAGGTCATGATCTTGAGGTTCACCAAGTTCAGCCCCATGTCGGACTCTGTGCTAACAGATCAGAGCCTGGAGCCTGCTTTGGATTCTGTGTCTCCTCCTCTCTTTGCCCCTGCCCTGCTCACACTCTGTCTTTCTCTCTCAAAAATAAATAAAAACCTTTTTAAGAAATTCTATTAACAAAAGGTGACTTTATAAATCAGTGCAGCCAGTATCTTTTTAATGTAATATACAATTGGCTATAGTGTAAGCAACATCATTTTCTGATTGGGGAACTGTCCAAGAAGGCAGAATTTTTATATTTAAGTAATTTATATTCAAGGAAAAGGGAAGAAACTGGGAAAAGATTATCAAGATTATTTTAGTTTTTAAAAATAAAATTTGTAAGTAGATTGATATGGGGTGCCTGGGTGGCTCAGTCAGTTGAGCACCCAACTCTTGATTTTGGCTTAGGTCATGATCCCATAGTCATGGGATTGAGCCCCATGTCAGGCTCCACTGAATGTGGAGCCTGCTCAAGATTCTCTCTCCTTTTGCCCCTTCCCCCACACTCGTGCTCTTTCTCTTAAAAAAAAAGAAAAAGGGGCGCCTGGGTGGCGCAGTCGGTTAAGCGTCCGACTTCAGCCAGGTCACGATCTCGCGGTCCGTGGGTTCGAGCCCCGCGTCGGGCTCTGGGCTGATGGCTCAGAGCCTGGAGCCTGTTTCCGATTCTGTGTCTGCCTCTCTCTCTGCCCCTCCCCCGTTCATGCTGTGTCTCTCTCTGTCCCAAAAATAAATAAATGTTGGAAAAAAAAAAAAATTAAAAAAAAAAAAAAAAGAAAAAAAGGTATCTGAACTGGGAAGGAAATAATAATTTAAAAGTCTCTTTTGAAAATCTTTGGTTAACCTGTACTAGGTTTTCTTTGTTCCCCAATGTTTTTGGACCTGTTATCTTTCTGCACTTATTCGTCTCTGGGCCTTTAATGTGAGTATATTTTCATAGATTCTGTATATGTGACTTCTACATAAGTCAGAAGCTGATTGTAAATTGCTTTTGCATCTTGTTATTTTTAACACATAAAAGCTGACCTTTTGGTTAATTTTTGTTCTCAGCAAAAAGCAGGTTTTCTTCCTTTGTATGAAACTATACTTTTTTAATTCACATTGCTTTTTTAATAAGTAAATATGTATCACAAGAATGTTTGTTATTCTTGTATTACTTCAAGTTGTCTTGATCAGCATCAGGTTTTGTATAGAGAACTGTGGATTCAGAAAATACAGGTAATTAGGGCATCTGGGTGGCTCATTCCGTTAAGTGTCCAACTTCGGCTCAGGTCATTGTCTCATTGCTCATGGGTTTGAGCCCCGCGTCAGGCTCCGTGCTGACAGTTTGGAGCCTGCTTCAGATTCTGTGCTTCCCTCTCTCTCTGCCTCTCCCCCATTCGCTTTCTGTCTCTGTGCCTCAAACATTAATTTAAAAACGGAGGGCGCCTGGGTGGCTCAGTCGGTTAAACATCCGACTTCAGCTCAGGTCGTGATCTTGCAGATGGTCTCTGTGCTGACAGCTCTGAATCTGGACCCTGGAGGCTGTTTCAGATTCTGTGCTCCTCCCCCACTTGTGCTGTTTCTGTGTCTGTCTGTCTGTCTGTCTCTCTCTGTCAAACATTAAAAATAAACAAACAAAAAAAGAAAGAAAATACAGTCAATTAGTTTAAGCCTGCATCCCAGGACTTTTTTTCAAACTGATGACTTTACTGTTAAGTTTCTTATTTTAAAACTTGTATTTCTTTTGATTATAAATATAACGCATGTTTATTTTAAAAATTGGTACATACATGAAAAATTGAAGAAAAAAGTTACCAAAGCCTATGATTCAAAGAGAACCACTGTTAAAATGTTGATTTTTTTTTTTATTATTATTATTTTTTAGAGGTACACACTTTGCTTGGTTGGTTCTGATCACATTGTATTAAAAAGTTGCAGTTTCATCCTTTTCAGTTAATATTAGTGTTTCCCATATAATTATTTTTAAATGTTCTATACTCTTCTATTTAGTTGATGTGGTATTATTCTTTCATTGGATATTTAGATTCTTTAGTTTTTTGAGAAAGGGACTGTTACAAGGAATATGTAAAGTGTTTTGTTTTTCCTGTGTTTAGAATATTTCTTTAGGGTTAATTCCCCAAAATAACTGTGTCAAAGAGAATTAATTTTTTAAGCATCTTAAAACATGTTTCAGATTATTTTCCAAAAATATCGTCAGTTTGCATTTTCACAAACATGTTCTGAGCTGAACAAGTGTACTTTTCACCTCAATTTTAAAAAATCAAACTAAAGATATTTGCAGTTTGTTCCTTATTTCAATGTCCCATTTTCTTTTTCTGTGTTTTTTATGTTCTGCATATTTAGGTAAATGACCTTCGAAAAGAATTAGAAAGTCGAGCCCTTAGTTCCAAAGGATTAAAATCTCAGTTAATAGCCCGATTGACAAAACAGCTTAAAGTAGAAGAGCAAAAAGAAGAACAAAAGGAATTAGAGAAATCAGAAAAAGAAGAGGAAGAGGAGGATGATAGGAAATCTGAAGATGATAAAGAGGTATATATACACTATTAAATATAATACTTGTTTATAGGGAATTCTTAAAATATGTGCGTGTGTACTTTTATTAAGCCACCTGGGTGGCTCAGTCACTTTAGTGTCTGACTCTTGATTGTGGCTCAGGTGATGATCTCATGGTTCCTGAGATAGAGCCCCAAGTCAGGCTCTGCACTGACAGCGCGGAGCCTGCTTGGGATTCTCTCTCTCTCCTTCTCTCTCTGCCCCTTCCCTAAGCTTGCCTGTGTGCACACTCTCTCTCAAACTAAATAAACATTTATTAAAAAAAAAAATACAACTACATAACTGTAAAATTCAACGCTTTTGGTGAACAGTTTGACAAATGCAATATAGTTATATAACCATGACAACAACTAAGACATAAAACAGGTCTGTCATGGGGCGCCTGGGTGGCGCAGTCGGTTAAGCGTCCGACTTCAGCCAGGTCACGATCTCGCGGTCCGGGAGTTCGAGCCCCGCGTCAGGCTCTGGGCTGATGGCTCAGAGCCTGGAGCCTGTTTCCGATTCTGTGTCTCCCTCTCTCTCTGCCCCTCCCCCGTTCATGCTCTGTCTCTCTCTGTCCCAAAAATAAATAAACGTTGAAAAAAAAAATTAAAAAAAAAAAAACAAAAAAACAGGTCTGTCACCCTCTAAAAATCTCTACCCTTACGTAAGCATTTTCTTCTCTCCATGTGCTCCTTCTGCTTCTCACACCAGCCTCTGGGAGCCACTGATCTGTTTCCTGTAGTTTTGTCTATTCCAGTATTTCATGTAAATGGAATTATATATAACATTTACAGTCTGACCTCTTCAACTTAGCAAAATGCATTAGAGATTTGCCCATTTTGTTGTATATATTACTAATTTGTTATTTTGTATTGCTTAATAATATCCCATAATATCCCATAGTATCAATGTCACAGTTTGTTTTCTACTCGAGAGAAATTTGAGTTATTTCCAAATCATGTATTTTTCATCTTCCCTTTTAAAAATGAATGCTAAATTATTCATATGTTTGGGGTGCCTGGCTGGCTCAGTCAGCAGAGCATGCGACTCTTGATCTTTGGGGTCATGGGTTTGAGCCCCACGTTGGCCATAGAGTTTACTTAAAAAATTATTCAGGGGTACCTGGGTGGCTCAAACATCCAACACTTGATTTTAGCTCAGGTCGTGATCTCACTGCTTGTGGGTTCGATCCCCACGTTGGGCTCTGCACTGATAGCTTGGAGCCTGCTTGGGATTCTGTCTCCCTCTCTCTCTGCCCCTCCCCCCACTTGCTCTCTGTATCTCTTTCAAAAATAAAAATAAACTTTAAAAAATTATCCCTGTGTTTTAGAGAGAATTTGATTGACAGAGCCATTAAGTTCAGAGATTGAGTTCGAGTGAAGTGCTTATCCCAGAATTTTGCTGCTTCTACAGCTGTGTGTTTGATTGCATTGCATCTTATGCCCTTACAATAACTCCTAGATGCACAAACCTGCCATTGTTTTCTGAATTTGAAAGAGAGCAATAGAAGAAGCATGTCAGAATGCCAGTAATTGGACAGACCAACAGTATGTATTTCCTAATGTGATGCATTCTGGATTATACATAATTATTTATGAAGTATTCCTGCCAAAAATGTTTTTACCTTAATCTAATTGTGAGAGAATAGTCAGATTTAGAATGTAAAAAGTTACACAAAGCAGCTTATCTGAACTTCTGAAATGTCTATGTCATGAGAGACGAAAAGAAATGATTTACATTGGGGGCACCTCAGTTTGTTAAGCATCCAACTCTTGGTTTCAGCTCAGGTCATGATATCGTGGTTTTGAAAGTTCAAGCCCCATGTTGGGCTCTGGTTTGGCACTGTGGAGGCTCCTTGGGATTCTCACTCTCCCTATCTCTCTGTCCCCCCCCCCCACTTTGTCTCTCAAATAAATAAACTTTAAATAAAAATAAACAATTTACATTAAAAGAGGTTAGCAACACATGATAACTGGATGTATTGAATGAAACTTGACTGGACCCCGAATAGGAAAAAAAAATGCCGTGAAGAATAGTTTGTGGATAATTGGAGACATTTGATTATGGATATGGGTGTGATATTAGATAATTTTCAAGCAGTGTTAAATTTCTTGGATGTGATAATGGTTTTTTTGTTACGTTGAACTACCTTGTTCTTAAGAGAGTTGTGATTTCTTATTTCATTCAATGATAATATTTATCTTGATAATGAAAATATATCACTTGGGTAGTAGGAGCCCTTTTGAGTTGGCTTCTGTGTCCTTTCACATGTCCTCGTTTTATTTTGAGGACTTAACTTATTTTGGAGCCCAAAACAGTGTTGCCATCTCACTGTGTACACTCCCTGCCCTGGCTTTGGAATTAGCCATTTCCCAAGGAAATATGTGTGTGTATACTTTTTTAAGATAGAACTATAAAAAGCCCTCATACTTTTTAGTGAAGGTGATGATAATTTAGAAGCCAAGACATACTCACTCGTATCATTGTGCTTCTCATGACCCCTGTTAGTCAATAGAGCTATGGTACAGATATATATTAATTTATACTTATATATACCTACATATATGTATTTGTATCTATATTTGTTACAGTGTATGTATTGAAAGTCATGAGTTGGGGCGCCTGGGTGGCGCAGTCGGTTAAGCGTCCGACTTCAGCCAGGTCACGATCTCGCGGTCCGTGAGTTCGAGCCCCGCGTCGGGCTCTGGGCTGATGGCTCAGAGCCTGGAGCCTGCTTCTGATTCTGTGTCTCCCTCTCTCTCTGCCCCTCCCCCGTTCATGCTCTGTCTTCTCTCTGTCCCAAAAAAATAAACGTTTAAAAAAAAAAAAAAAATTAAAAAAAAAAAAAAAAAAGTCATGAGTTTATGCTAGTATCTCCAGTTGTACTCCCAACACCAGAGTTCACTTCAGTTTCCTCCTTTCTGCATACCTAACTCCCTTTTCCAATAATGAGAAATGTAGCTTCCACTGTACTTAATATATTTGCTTACTTGCTCAGTTGTTTGTTGCATTCCCTCTGCTATCTGGATACTCTCTTTACTTTGGTCCGATTCCCTACCCTGTGTTGTGTCTCTGAATGTTCATGCTCCATTTGTGTCAGTACCTGTTGACTGGTGGGCTTGTCTGCCAGCCTCCATCCTCTGTATAGACACCTGCTTTGTTGGAGGAGTTGCTTTAGAACTGAATTGTTCAGGACAGAAAGACTAGAAATAGAAGGCAAAGAAGAGCTGGTTTTCACTTTTTGATGTTAGCAGCCATTGGGGTTGGAAAATAGTGATATTATAATTCGTACCATTTTGTTTTTACATATTTCCCTCATCTCCTATTTGGTTACCTGGTGGTATAGTTTTCTCTCTTGTTAAATTCATATAGAAGAAGGCAGGATCAATTCTTTTAAAAAAATTTTTTTAATGTTTATTTTTTGAGAGAGACAGAGACAGAATGCGAGTGGATTAGGGGCAGAGAGAGAGGGAGACACAGAATCTGAAGCAGGCTCCAGGCTCGGAGCTGTCAGCACAGAGCCCGACATGGGGCTCAAACTCACGAGCTGTGAGACCACGACCTTAGCCGAAGTTGGACACTCATGGACACTCAACCAACTGAGCCACCCAAGCGCCCCAAGGCAGGATTAATTCTTGATTGTTTTTGTTTTTTTTTTTAATATAGAACACTTTTTGCATATGAACAATCTTTGTGCAGGGGCCATAGACAATCTTTTTTGTATCGTTCTAATTTTAGTATATGTGCTGCTGAAGCAAGCACTGTTTTCCTTTGTTTTATGATGGTTACCCATTTGTTTTTTAACATCATTATGAATTTATTGAGGCACCTGGGTGGCTCAGTTGGTTAAGTATCCGACTTCGGCTCAGGTCATTGATCTCAGTTTGTGAGTTCAAGCCCCACATTGGTCTCTGCACTGGCAGCTCAGGGCCTGATTTGGATTTTCTCTCCCTCTGACTCTCCCCCACTCACGCTCGCTCGAGCTCTCTCTTTTAAAAAATAAACAACATTTAAAAAATTAAACATGGGGGCGCCTGGGTGGCGCAGTCGGTTAAGCGTCCGACTTCAGCCAGGTCAGGTCACGATCTCGCGGTCCGTGAGTTCGAGCCCTGCGTCGGGCTCTGGGCTGATGGCTCAGAGCCTGGAGCCTGTTTCCGATTCTGTGTCTCCCTCTCTCTCTGCCCCTCCCCCGTTCATGCTCCGTCTCTCTCTGTCCCAAAAATAAATAAACGTTGAAAAAAAAAAAAAATTAAACATGGATGCCTGGGTGGCTCAGTTGGTTAAGTGTCTGATTTCGGCTCAGGTCATGATCTCAAGGTTCGAGGGTTGGAGCCCTGCATCGGGCTCTGTGGTGACAGTGCAGCTGTTGGATTCTGTTTCCCTCTCTCTCTACCCCTGCCCTGCTCATACTCTGTCTCTCTCTCAAAAATAAACATTAAAAAATTTGTTTATTAAACATTGTGAATTTATAGATTTAAATGTATTTGATGGGCTTCAGTTCTTTGCAATTCTTATCCTTATTGAAGCTCAAATTGTCTTTTTTTGGCCAGTGGGTGGGAATATATATATACAGATACACAGCACTAATACAGTACTGATGATATACCACTAATGTTACTGCTGAAATTTGTTTATAAAGTTATTTTTGCTTTTCCTATCCTTATTTTCTCCCTGTTGTTTTTATGTTGTACTATAAATACATTGGGCTAGCATGTAGCATTACATATTGTACTCTTTTAATCCTCCTTTAGTCTTGGTTCTACAGTTCTATATCTAACGCTCACCACTAGTGCTTTTGTCATTGTCTCTGAAGGTCATCTCTAGGAGATTCTTCAGAGCTCATGGTAGCAATGTTTAGGTTCTTGTATGTTGGTAACAGTTTGACTATACTTAAAAGTCAGTTTTTGGGAATGCAAACTGGTGCAGACACCTTGGAAAACAGTATGGAGGTTCCTCAAAAAATTAAAAATAGAACTACCCTACAACCCAGCAAT